CTATATATATCTGAATCACTATGCTATACACCAGAAATTAACACAACAGTGTAAACAGCTATACTTCAGTTAGAAAAAAGACAATAGCCACAGAGTAAAAGGGCAACCCACAGAATGGGAAAAATATTTACAAATCATATATCTGATGAGGGATTAATATCCAAAATGTATAGAGAGCTCCTTAAACTCAAAACCAAAAAAGAAGAAAAAACCTATCTGATTCAAAAATGGGTAAAGACATTTGAAAAGACATTTCTCCGAAGAAGATCTACAGATGGTCAGTAAACACGTGTAAAAATGCTCAACATGACTAACCATTAGGGAAATACAAACCAAGACTACAATGAAATACAATCTCATACCCATAAGGATGGCTTCTATCAGAAAACAGAAAACAACATGTTGTCAAATATATAGACCCATTGGAACACTTGTGTACTTTTGTTGAGAATGTGAAATGGTCTAGTTGCTGTGAGAACTGGCGGTTTTTCAAAAATTTAAGAATAGAATTACGATATGATCCAGCAATTCTACTTCTGGGAATATATACAAAAGAATTGAAATCAGGGTTTCAAAGAGATATTTTTACACTCATATTCATAACAATGTTATTCACAAAAGGTCAAATGTAGACACATGTCCATTGACAAATGAATGGATAAGCAAAATGTGGTATACACATATCCAATAGGATATTATTCAGCTATGTTAAGGGGAGGATGAACTTTGAGGACATTATGCTAAGTGAAAAGTAAGCCAAACACAAAAAGGCAAATATTGTATAATTCCACTTATACGAAGTTCCCAGAGTAGTCAAATGCATAGGGATAGAAAGTATCCTGGTGATTTCCAGGGTGAGGAGAGACTGGGGAGTTACTGCTTAATGGGTATAAAGTTTCAGTTTTAGAAAGTAAAAAGAGTTATAGAGATGGATAGTTGTGATGGTTGCACAAAAAATGAATGTACTTAATACCACTGGACTGATACTTAAAAATGGATAGGATGATAAACTTCATGTAATTTCTGTTTAACACAATAAAAAAGACATAAAAAATATTCTGCCATTGCTTTTGAAAATTTTGATAAAATGGACAGTATCGAGAAATTAAAATGGGAAAAATCTAAAGAAATGGGAGGGAGCCCATTAAAAGAAACTTAAGAAACACAAACTAATCACAACATGTGTGGACCTTATTTGCATCCTGATTCAAGCATTCAAAGAAAATGCTGTTGAGAGACATGAGGTTGAACAAAAGGAAAGGCATACCATGTTCTTAGTCAGGAATATTCAACATTACAAAGATATCATTTCCCCTAAGTTTGTAAGTTTAATGTGATTTCTATAAATCTGCCAACATTATTTTTTAAAATTATAGAGCTTTTACAGAAAAAAAAGTTTTTAAAGTAAGAATAATCAGGAATTTCTGAAAAGAAAGTTAACAAGGGACCATTTGTCCTATATGACGATAAAGAATAGTAAAATATCACAGTAAAACAATGCGGTGCTTGTGCATGCACAGACTTAAACAGTTTATTAGGACAGATTAGCAGGTCCAGATACAGTCATCAATACTTCTAGTAAGTTAGCATCTGATTAAGATGGCATTTCACATCAGTAGGTGAAACATGTAGGGTGTAGGTAGCTATCTGGAAAAAATATAACTGATATCCAAAATCACACCCAGATAAATTCTAGGTGGATAAAATATATGTACAAAATTAAACCATGTAAGTATGTACAATAAGAAGTCATGGAAGTAAAACAAATAAAACATAGAGTAGTGAAGTTTTTCTATTTCACAAATGCAGAAGCTACAGAAGGAAAAAAATATTTTTTACATAAGTAACTGTAAAAAAAAAAGTCACAAACTGGAATACAGTTTGCAATTTTTTTTCTATACAAAAGGCAAATTTCCCTTTAAAGAGTTCCTACATATCAATAAGAAAAACAAGAAACTAATGGACAAATGTGCAAAATGCATGAAAGAGATGAAAATTTCTCAGAACAGGAAATATAACTTATTATTAAATGTATGGAAAGATGTTCAACCTCACTTTACTAAGAGAAATATAATTATGCTGAGGTTCCATTTTGATGGTTACAAAGATCACAGAGTTTGACAATGTAAGTATGTTATCAAATTGTATTACCTTTGCCAAAAATACTGAAGATGAAGCTATGTTTAAGGTTAACAAGGACTGAAAAACAAATTAAATATCGTAAGAAAAAACAAATCGGAAGATGAGACATTCTCTATAATAACTGGTCTGATGTCTTCAACAAATCAGTGTCATATTAAAAAAAAGTATATGGGAGGAGGGACTGTTCTAAATGAAAAGAATGTAAGAAACGTGACAACCAACTACATCTTGTGGTCTTTTGAACAAACCAGCTACAAAATAAATTTTGGGATCATTGAAATGTTAAATGTAGACTGGGTATTAGATGTATTAAATAATTTTATATAATGCTGTTTTCACATACTTACTAGGAAAGTGCCGTATTTTGGACTTATATACATTAGTGTTTGGGGTAAAATGTCATAATGTCTGTAATTTACTTGGGAGTATTTCTGCAAACATGAGGCAAATATGACATGCTAACTTGTTAAATCTAGTTGGTCATATGGATATTCATTATCCTAATCTTTCTACTTTTTTATGTATTTGGAATTTTTCATAATAAATGTTCAGTACATACAAGAAGCAATTCTACAGTGAAAAACCTGGTGCATACCTTACATGCTCTGTAAGTCATTCCATGGTCTGCTTAACTCTATGCTAGGCAGTATGGAAAGATCTAGAACAGTGTTTTTCAAACTGCAGATGGTGATTTTTAGTCATTACTAAAATCAATTAGGGGAGTCATGACCAGTAATTTCTTATACATGAAATAGAAGAGGAACTACTGAAGGATTTTGAGTTAGTACAGATGAATATTACATGAAACTTTGTTATAATCATATGTATCAGTAAGTTTACACATGTGTGTACATCATTATGTTATAAAACCCTTTTAAAAAGTAATCTTACTCTTAAAATTTAAAGCAAAAAGTTTTCTTTTTAAAAGCAAAAATTTAGTAAGTTGCTAAGGTGGTCCAGTATTTCCACTGGAAGTTACTAATAATGGTGCCTTCTTGGGTTTGAAGTTTGCTTCTTTTAACTTAAATTTCTTTGACAATGCTTTGTTGCATCTTGGTTATCTGGTGTGTGATAGACACATTCTCATGTTCTTTGTTTTGATTTTTGTAGTAACTATGACTGAAGTTTTACCAAAGGAAAAGAAACAGAAAGAGGAGAAAACCTTAATTCTTGGTCAAGCAGTGGTGGACCTTCTTCCTTTACTGGAAGGTCAGATGGATGATTTGCTTTAAAGTAGAAATAACAGAGCTCATAATATTTAGTTCTAGAGAAGTGCAAAAATCAGCCTCAATTAATTTGAGGAATTCAGTGAAAAGATGAGCACATTTATCTCTGCCTAACCCTCTTTCTTTGGCTTTCTTTCTGCAGGAGAGAGTTCATTTGAAATGATGGTCCCATTGCACCCTGTGCCGGGCTCCCCCTTAGAATCTCTTCGATCAGGTGTTAAGGTAATCAGAGTTTTAAATTTCAGCGTTTCACCCTGATACTCAGTCAAATCTGTCTGCTACTAAGGTTCAATTCAGTTGAGTCCAGTTCATTAGGCATCTTCTTTTCACAGGCACACATAGTGCTAGCTTCTGGGAAACAAAGATAAATAAGGCAGGGCCCTACCTTAGGAGTCCATAATCTACACATCATATGTTATAACCAGTGTGATTAAATGGTGGATGAGGCATACGGGCACAGAGTAGATATCTGCTACTTCGCCCAGGGGTAGATGTAGGGAAGGCTTTACCGTGGAAATGCCTCTTGAACTATGTCCTGATGGATTAAATTAAACAGTATATGAATGCACCTAACACACTTTCTGGAATGGTAACCTGCTTCTGGTTATTGGAGGTGGGGAGGCATGAACTGGTAGGCTGTGCTACTGTTTGTGTTCTGGGCTGTTTCCCAGTTCCTCTTGGAATCAGTGGCTTCCTGGGGCCCTGCTTTTGCCACTCTCAGTAGATACCACTTATTTCTCTGTAATGATACCTTATAGGCACTAAAACCCAACATTTTAAAATTGAACTTAGCATCTTCTTTTTATTTTAGTTATTTTGATTAGTGGCATCATTCATCTGTAAAATCATAAGACATACGTACAATCTACATTACATCCATGACTGCTCCCTTGGACCCTATTTACAACCAATCCCCAAATCAGCCTTTCACCAAATCCAGCCTTTTCTGTCTCCTAAGTGACTTCGGACTCTCTCTTCTTACCTTTATTCCTACACTTTATTGCCTTATAATCTCTCATCTAGAACATTACAAGTAGCCTTGTAACTGCCCTTTCCTCCCTCCCGTTCAGCCTTCCACTGCTTGCAGAGTGACTTAAAAGTAAATGTCATCTCATCTCTTCCCTTCCTTAGCATTGTGTAGTTCATGGATTCGTCCAAGTTTTTGCACAGTGATTTGCATGTTAAGGTACAAATTCCTTAACAAACATACAACAGTGTTTATTATAGATGCCTGCCACATATTGTCTCATCTCTTAGTACTTCCTTCCTTGTGCTATGTTCTAAAATACTGAACTCCTTATTTACACTTAAACCGAACGTACCATGCTGTTTCAGGCCACCTCTACATGAGCTCTTCTTTTTGTCCAGATTTGTTTTCTCTTTTTTTCCTCTGCTTGTCCAGATTGCACACTCCTATTCATCTTGTAAAAGTCAGTTCAAATGTCACCATATTTTACTCTTCCCCACCCGCATAATTAATTATACACTTCCTTTCTTGATGTTCCTTGACCAGGGTACTTTGTATCAGTTCTTATTATAGCATTTATCATAAATTATGAAATTTTAACATGAATTCCGTGATGAAAGGGACCATGTATCCTTCATCTTTGTATTCACAGTGATATAGTGAAGTGCCTGGCATATAATTAGCAATCAATGCATATTTTAAACCTACTTTTTATTGTATCCTGTGTGAAAATGTCAGAGATATAGACATACATGTCTCTCACTCTGTATAACTATATACATACATATTTCAAAAAATATTTTTTATTAAAAAGCATTACATCTGCCAATCCAGAATTTCTATTGGAGACTTAACTTGGGAATTTCCCATTAGTAGGATACTTAATTCTTTAACAATAAAATTAATTATTCCAATTAATGTTGATTCCTGAAAAATAAAATGAAAATGAACAAATTCTTTTCTCCTCTCTAATGAAACACTAGCTATCTTGGATACATCACTAAAGTCAAATACCTGGCAGCTCTTCTAAAAATTCATTCCTGAGCTTACTCATGCTGTCCCAAAATACTTTCTCATGTTTGAAAAGTAGAAATATATTAAAGAATATGATTTTCAAATATTTAATAAAAACCTAAAAGCTTTTAAGCACTGCATTTAAATTTCACAAAAATAGTCACAAAATATAGACTAGCAAAAAAAGCACCCAATTTCAGTCACTCATGTGCAACTACTATTAACATTTCAGAATAGAACTTTGCAATTCCTCTTCTGTATATATTTGTATACATACTTGACCTCAGTATAGTAGAAGGGAAGGGCACTTGCTTAGGGATAAAGTTCTCTTCTTGGCTCTGTCTCTAACTTATGACCTAGAAAAAGTTATTTGAATCCTCTCTATGGAAATCATTAAACTTGAACTTCTTACCTTGAACAGTGATGAGATTCAAATGAGATAATGCAAAAAAAGGGAGGCCTCTGGCATTTTCAAATTGCTGTATAATTTTATTCTTTTACAGCAGTGCAGTCTCGAAGTTAAAGTATTTGTTGCGGAGCCCTTATTGACCCCAGCCCAGATCTCAGGAGGCAATCTTCTGAAGGTCACATTGGAGGCTGCCTACTCTGTGCCTGAATCTTTCATTCCAACAGGGCCACTGCAGAACTACATGGTTGGTCTGCAAGTTCCATCAGCTGGAGAGGTAAGGACTTACAGCCAGATATTTATATAGATTTAAACCCTTATGTGGCCATCTATTCCTCACCTTCTAAAATTTCATTCAAAGCAAGCTCTGATAATGGCTGAGATTTATTTTAGGCTCACAGAAATAAAGTTTACTTCTGTTTTATACATTGATGTCTATATTTATAGTTTATATATTATATATATGACTAATATCATTTATATCATTAAATACATATTTATGGTAGAAAATATGTACAACACTTTAAAAATGACAATTTTTGTATGTAGTATTTCTACCCAGGTTACTTATACGTGTTTATTTTGTGAATATTGTATAATGCACTTTATTATACAAAACTTTCTTTTAATTCCAGGTTATTTTCTTACTCCAAGTTTCTGTAGAATGATTGTGTATGGGTCTTTTGAGGCTCTTGAGAGAGATTTTCAAATTGCTTGCTAAAAGAATGTAATTAGTTAATACTCCCACCTGCTTTATTGCCATTTTACGTGTTTAGTACGGAAGTCTCCAATTCCTCTTCACCATTTAACGTTTCTACCACCAGTGCACAAGGGTTCCAGTTTCTCCACATATTCACCATACCTGTTATTTTCTGTTTTTTGATAACAGCCATCCTAATATGTATGAAGTAGCATCTCCTGTGTTCTTGATTTGCATTTCCCTGGTGACTACTGATGTTGAGCATCTTTTCATGTGCTTATTGGCCATTTGTTTATCTTCTTTAGGGAAATGTCTATTCAGGTCCTTTGCCCATTTCTGAATTGGGTGGTTTGTTTTCTTGTTGTTGAGTTTTAGGAAGTCTCTATATATTATAGCTATTACCCCTTATCAGATATGTGATTTGCAAGTATTTTCTACCATTCTGTGGGTTGCCTTTTTTACTCTTCTGTTAGTGTCTTTTGATGCCAAAAGTTTTTAATTTTGATGAAGTTCAGTTTGTCTGTTTTTGTCTTTTGTTGTCTGTTCCTGTGGTGTCACAACCAAGAAATCATTGCTAAATCCTATGTCATGAGGCTTTCCCCCTGTGTTTTCTTCTAAGAGTTTTTGTTTGTTTGTTTTGGGGGGAGGAGGTAATTACATTTATTTATTTAAAATTTTTTTAATGGAGATACTGGGACTTGAACCCAGAACCTTATGCATGCTAAGCATGTGCTCTACCACTAGAGCTATACCCTACCCACTAAGAGTTTTATATTTTACCTCTTATGTTTAGGCCTTTGGTCCAATTTGAGTTAATTTTTGTATATGGTATTAGGTAAGAGATCCAACTTCATTCCTGTGAATGTGAATAACTAGTTTTCTCAGCACCATTATTTGGAAAGACTGTCTTGTCCCTATTGAATAGTCTTGGCACCCTTAACTTTGACAGTTTTTGCTAGCTTATTCTTTTTGGAGGGAGGAGCAGATTTCTAAAGGTTCTTACTCTGCCATTCCAGAAATGCCCCTCCTTCACAGAAATTTTTAAACTTAACACAAAGAACTAGAATAGTTGAGTTATAGGGTATGCCAATTTTAACTTTTACTAGAAACTGCAAAATTGCTTTCCATAGTTGTGCCAATTTACAGTTTCATCAACTATGTATAAAAATACTATTCTCTCACAATATTGCCAACATTTGATATTTTCAGACTTTGCCAACCTATGTTTAAAATTGCATCTCATTGTTTTAGTGTGGATTTCTCTTAATGATATATATAGCATGTTTTTATTTAAATGTTGGATTTTCTAATTTCCCTTTCTATATATTGCCTATTTATGACTTTACCAATTTTCTATTGCAAGTGTATTTTAGATAAATTACAGATATGAAAATGCCTATAATTTAGCCCTTTGTCAGATTTGTTTGTTTTTTAAAAGGTAATTATTAAAAAGGCATATCATGACTCTCATATAAATACAAAATGACAACAAGGATTTAAACCAATTCCAAGGAGAATCTGAACAAAGGAGCCATATATAAGCAACCAGGAATGTTGGAATAAATTTGCTAGTAATTCAAAACTTGTCATCAGCCACAGGGCAATAATCAGTTACATCTCCACTGGACAAAATATATATGCATATCATGGACAAGAATAATTTGCATTATCAGTTTTCTAGAAATTACAAAATTATAAAATAGTACAAAGACAATTAAGGGGACAGACCTTTCTATAGAATCAGATAATCACAGAAGGGTCTGTTAGACAACATCCTCTATTTCATTGAGGAGTCATTTCTGTAATCATTTTTTGTCCATTTCAAATTCTTTCACAAAATTTCCTGATATATGGTGTTTATCTTTATAGAAAGACTATCCCATTTTCTTCAAGAATGGAACTCTGAAGCTTGGAGGAGAACGAGAACCTGTTCCTCGGCCCAAAAAATGGCCTATTGCCAACATTCTGGCTCCAGGAGCTAATAACATTCCTGATGCGTTCATCATTGGTGGGCCATATGACGAAGAAGAAGGAGAACTCAACCACCCTGAGGTGAGAGAACTGTGTAGTTTTTTGTGATAATCTCAGTGCACTGGGATATAAACAGCTTGTAAATCGCAATAGTTAATATACATTTGTCACCTCTTAAAGTAAAACAATTATATGTCAGAATAAAACACTAATCTATAAAATTGTGATTAAAATGTTTCCTGACTTTTTAAGTCCAGCAAACAAAACAATTGATTTAATTCATATTTACCCTTTATTTTATTTTAAATTTATTTATTTATGAGTAGGCAGTAATACAATCACAAGTCAAAATAAAAAAATAAGGGATATGCAGTTAAAGTCTCCCTCCTACTCCATGTCTCTTCCTCCTGATTCCTTCCCAGATCGTCACCCTGTTCTATTTTACTTTAGATAACTAGTTCTTAACGCTGGTTGTTCATTAGAATTGCCTAGAGAGCTCTTAAAACAGTAACAGTGGTGAAGCTTTAACCCAGGTCAATTACCTAAGAATTTACTTTTAAAATAATTACAATGCCCAGGTGTTGATTTTTTTTAAGATACTCTCAGATAATTCTAATATGCATTCAAGGTTGAGAATCACTGATTGAAGTTATGTGAGTGAATATTTGGCATTTAGTACTGAATTGATGTAAGGATAATATAAGTAATTTATTCTAGGTACTTTATTTAATAGAAAAGTACCCTAATTTCAAAATTGTAGAATAGATAAACAAGATTATACTGTATAGCATAGGGAAATATATACAAGATCTTATGGTAGCTCACAGAGAAAAAAATGTGACAATGAATATATATATGTTCATGTAAAACTGAAAAATTGTGCTCTACACTGGAATTTGACACAACATTGTAAATTATAAAATCATTATAAATCAATAAAAAA